CCCCCTGCGGCCGCCCCGGCGCGGGGCCGCCCTCGGCCGGGAGGCTGCGGGGTCCCGCCGCGGCGCCCGGCGGTCCTTCCCCCGAGCACGTGTGGGGAGCTGGCTTCCCCATAGTGTGCGCTTGTGGAGACTTTTTTTATTTATTTTCCTCTTTATTATTATATATATTTTTTTCTGTTGGCGCTGTTTACTCGCTTCTAAAAACGTGCTTTCCCTTCTGCTTTGGTTAGAGAGGCCTGTTGGTGGCAGCCACCATAGGCTGTCCAGTGAAGACAGGAAAAACGCGGCATGAGGAAGAGGTGTTCAAATAAAGTAAACAAACAGGAGAACTCTATGTGGCAATCTTGCCATTAGTTTATATATATATGTATAAAATAATGTATATATAATGTGTGTGTATATATATATATGCAGCTGGCAAAATCTGCAATCTGCTCAACCTAAAGGTGATTTTGAACCAAAGTTTTGGTGCATGGCTGAGAGAGCCTCACTGTAATGATACATATTCTAGCCTCACCTGTACTCATGTGAGTGTATGTAAAAATATCTTGCAATTTTAATGTCCTTCCTTCAGGCTTTTCTTCTGTATTTGCTCAGTTCTTCTATTTTATCCTGTAAAATTCTCCCCTCCTTTTTTTTTTTTCTTGTCACATCCATAATTTATCCCTCTTTCCAAATGAATACATGSACGTCACAGTCCTGAAGTGGACAAGTCTGTGTGTGACCCCCCTACTGAGCGATGCAGTAAAATGAGGTTAATATTTATATTTGTATTGCATGTGCCATTAAATTACTACTGGGTGAAAGTATTTTCCTGTTTTTTTCCAGGTTTTCCAACAAGCTTTCCAGTAATTATATGGATAAGAAAATGGCTTCCAAACCAGCTTTCTTTGAAATATTTAAAGCTCAGTGCAGTGAAACAGGTACAGTCTGCTTAAAGTAAATAACTTATTAGAGTTGCTTTAAGGATGTTGATATTTTATGAGTATTTGCAGTGAACTTTATGTTGCATAGCAGAGCGTTACTCAACTTGTTGGCTCTTCCCTTGCTTAAAATCTTTATCCAGTTACCTACTTTTTAATATATTTCATTTAATTTTTATTTTTAGCATTTTTTTCATAAAGTGTTCTCAGATGCTTCCATGCACTTGTTCTGTTTTGCTTTTTTTATATACCTCTAAACAGTCTAGATTTAGTCTTTGATCAAATGCAGCTGTAGTCATATGATTTACTACTGCTAGAAGGAACCTGTGTAATTCACCAGTTTAAGTAAAGTAAGATATAAACTAAAAGCCAATTAACCTCAAATATCCAGTTGGTGTAAAATTAATTGCCCTTTGTTAGTTTCATTAATGGTTGTAAAATGATGGCAAACCTTCCCTTATACCTTTTTGACATCAGAGTTCATATCTTCCCAGAAACATAGTAATAAAATGCTGGCATTAGGCTCTGCATAGGCTCCCATGGAGTATTAGTTTTCCTATAATTAATAGCAAGTTATGATGTATCCTTCTGATGTGTTCTTATGATGCATTCTGTATCATGCATAGATTGAATATTCCTATTTTATGTCCTGTTTTAATGACACAAAAAATGCCTGCTTAATGTTTGTAATCTTGCCATTTGGTAGGTGTCTGTTTACTTGTTTTTTGTGGTGTTGTGTATATTTTTCTTCATAGATTTAGGACCTATAAGCCTGAACTGGTTTGAGGAACTGACCTCAGAAGCTCCCCCTTATGAGCCCAAATTAGTTGGAGACCTTGATGGTCACACTGAATGGCTTGATGAAGCTTCTTTTAAAACTCCAAAGACAAAACCCTCTGCATACAGCCAGCTGGCTTCAACTCCACTGATTTTTAAAGAGCAAAGTACAATATTGCCACCTTCTCCTTTGTCGTCTCCTGGTAAAGAACTGGATCAGAAAACAAGTGAGTAACTTCTAAAATAAACTTGTGAGTTCCAGAAAAGAGTTCTTTTTTTTTTTTTTTTACATTTTATTTTTGTAGCTGTTGACTAGTAAAGTGATACAAGTCTTAAAAGCTCTAAATAGTGCTAATATAAGGAGTATATAAGCTTCTGAGTGTAACTTGGTAACTGAGAACCAAGCTGAATTTTCTGTCTGATTATGTTTTTTTTTCCTGTCTTAAACCTAACTTGTGAACTATCTCTGAAATCTCTCTAAGAGAGAGAACATGATGTTTATGACACTGAAATACAAGGCAGTCTGTAGGGTGGGCACTCCTTAGTTTTGCTTGGGAAGGTTTGGAAGAACCTTTGCACTTAGAGCTAGTAAAACTGCAACTGATGGAAAGATTTTCCGCTTGAAGAGAAAAAGCTCTGCCACTTCTAAGGGGCAGTTCTGTTGCTGTTTACAGCTCCCAAGTGCATCATGAAAGTGCCTGTCACTCTTGGCTCCTTTTTGGTGTTCCTGCAGTTTGAAATAACCCATCCTTCTTGGACAAATAACTTGCAAGAATTTTCTCAGTGGAGGAATTTCTAGGTCCGTTCTTGCAATATGTTTTGCACATCTATTTTGTGTGTGTGTGTGTGTCCTCCTTAGCTATGAGATAAGCTTTTCTACATAGTTTATTTGTCACTGACAAACATAAGAGYCTCCCAATTATAGGACTTGTTATTAGATCCTAAAGCAAAGGCTTTGGAGGTTTTACTAGCGCTGCTCTTCACATGCACCTTATAACATTGTTTCACTGGACTGTTGTTACCCTGTTAATTCTCCTAACTTTATTGCCAGACTTCTGCTCAACTTGCACATCGCTGGAAACGATTCTGTATCTCCTTAGACTTYTCCAGGGTTATGTCCCTGGTCAATTCTTGACAGCATTTCATAGGATGTAAACAAAGGAACTTTAAACAGCAACTTTTTCTGTTTTGAAATGGTTACTCTTGCTCTCTGTGTGTGGATGTGAGTGTTTCTRTACTCTAATGGTTACAGTGGAAGATGATTTGTGGAATATATGCTATATTGGGGTTGGACTAGATGACCTCTGAGGTCCCTTCCAAYCTTAAGCATTCTRTTGATTACTGTGCTTACTGTCCTGTGTTTGAATTGGTGGTAAACTGGTTGGCAGTTTATGGTCAAAGTGTTCTGCTTTTTTGGTCAGAATTTGATYTCTTTTGATCTCTTTGATCTCTTTTACATACAGATGCACAGTACATGAAAGATTCCAGAAAAAAAWCATTTTAGCAATAGCTCCAGAAAACATCTTTACTTTATGCTGTTCATTTGTATAAGAAGTGTATGACTTAAGTAAACTTGAGGGAAAGCTGGTATGTGTTTGCATGTTTTGAGTGTCTCCTATAAATAACTTATTCAAAACCAAGAAATGCACAGCACAGAATGTCCACATTAAAATGGATATATACTAGATATTGAATAATATCTAGGAAATAYGCTGAACCAGGTATTTAACAAAAGAATAAGGTCTCAAAGGAGTTATTTATTTTGGCCRTACATCTAAAATGTGTTCAGCTTTTTTTTATATACAGAATTTGAGCATCTTCAAAACACTAGAGGAAAGGGTAACACTAGATAAGTTTTGTTACAAAAAGTTACACCTTGCTTAATTTTTTTTTTAAAGCTGTAAACCTGTCACTTGTAGTTATGCAGGGTTTTGCTGATCATCATATTCTCTTTTCCAGCCAAAGAGAATTTGATCAGTCCAAGAATCCTAAGAACAAAAATAGACCAAGGAAATGAAATATTTGCTTCTCCTGTTGGTACTTGTCATGCTGCTAGGTATGTAAAATATGTCAAAATGAATTTAAAATAAAATATATTTTAAACCAAAGGCAGTTATAAAAGCTGATTTGACTGGGAGATTTTTTCAGAGCAGTGGATAATCTTGCATATCTTCTTGTTTGTTTATTATACTTGCATATTGCCAAGAAAGTTGAAAATATTTTTTTTTTAAATTCCCTTTGTTTAGGTGTCCTTGCTTTTTAGTTTTTATGCTCTTGTAATAACTGGCATAAGAGTGTTAACATTATTTATTTCATTTTCTCAAATCCTCAACATCCAAGGCAGGCATTGCAGTTTACATTTGATGATGCAGTATACATTTGGTAAAATTTATAATTGTTAGAGAAAATCAAAGTGGTGTAATATCTTGTACATAATATCTGGCTTAAGTATTTACTTGTTCTTATTTTCAAAAGCTGAGAAATAAAATGAAGATTTTTTTACTTTGTTTTGCAGTCCAACTATTTTAAGGAACCTTTGCAGGACTCCACAGAGAAGTAGTATTCCAGGTGAGTATTTTCATTGTTTATTTTTTACAAAATATTTACAAAGATATTATAGCTGTGGATATAATATGGMTAAATTACATATTTTTGTTAATTTTTTTTAGGACCATATGGAAGCTTGTTTTGCACACCAAAACTTTTGGAGGTAAATATATATTTCTGTGTTTGGTTTTCTTTTTTTCTGAGTAGTATGTGTAGGATTTTGTGTAGAAATAATTGTTAAATATATTTCCAGATCAGAACTCCAAACCGTATTTCTGAAAGTCTGGGAGTAGAAGTGGATCCCGATATGTCCTGGTCGAGCTCTTTGGCCACACCTCCAACACTGGGTGCAACRGTGATAATAGGTAGCTCTGATAATAAATAATTGCTGAGAGTTAGAAACTCTTCTGCTTTTGACTCCAGAAGAACAGAGGTGTTTGAATTTTCTTGACAAAATGACATATTCTTACAGCAGTGCTCAATAAGTGACTTTAAACAGTGCCCTAAAAGGGAAAAAATCTCAGCAGGGATGGGCTGCTGAATTGAGCTGTTCCCAGGGCCAATGAATTGTGCCACTTTGCCTGTTCATGGCTTTGGAAATATGTAACTTGAAAAGGAAGTCTGGGGAAACTGTTCTAGCTTAGAGAAGCTCTTGGGAGATGAGGTCTGGTTCARGTGTTTCACTTTCTAGATGAGCATGATATTTTACAGACGTGACACCCATTTTCTGTGCAGTCACCTGCAAAAGGAAAGAGTAAAAAAGAGAAAGCTSTTTGGCTGCTTCAACAGAGGGGTTCAAATTACTAATCTTCATACCACACAGGAATCCAGATGCCATGTTGAAGAAATGTGATATTTCAAGAGATTGCTCTTAAGCAAGCTTAAAAATAGSATTTGCACTCCTTTTTGTAGTATAGATGAATCATTTAACCGCTGCTGAGAGAGGGAAAGCCAATGTATAATCAAATTCTCATCAGTGTCTTGAAAAATGTATCCAGATCATGTGAGAAGTAAATTAGTAGAGCAGTGCCATGAACAGCTGCTGGAAAGGGTGATAACTGCTGTATCTCCATACCAGCAAGCATGCAGATAATCTCACTTTTAAGGTTTTTTCTTTTTTCTTTTTTTTTTTTTTTTTAGCTAAATTTGAAGTTAGTCTTTAGGGGGCTATTTTGTTAGTTTACAGTTTGCAGTTGCATTTAAAATAATCAAAAGAAAAACCCTGTCAGAATCCCAGCTGTATTTGAATACATACAGCCAGTCACCTAAGAACAAACGAATTGACTTGTCTCTCTCCCTCTTAAAGCTAGGGAGAATGATTCCATTTCTGAAGTAAGGCAACAAGATGACAGAGCTGAGGTAGTAAGTAAATTCAAGAACTACGTTATTCTTTAATTATGATAAAGTGTTTAGTTGCATACTCAAATTAATTGTTTTTGGCTTAAGGAAAAAATCTGTCACTGTCATTTTAGGCTCTCTTTTCTGGCTATTTTTAAAAATTTCTTCTCACAAACCTAGACTTGAAAAGCCTGGCTGTAGGCTCTGCTTTCACAGATACAAGCCCTTTGAGAACTCTCTTTCCTTCTTAACTTGGATCCAGCTGCACTGTGGGTCATTCAAGCAGAAATCAGCTGTAGGGACTGCAAAATGCTGCTTTGCTGTAGGATCGTTAGTTCCTGRGTTTTCCCCACCTTTTGTCCCAGTTGAGAGTTGTTGTTTGCCCTRTTATCAAAAAAGCTCCTGAGTTTAACCACTGGCCACGAGTTAAAATTGAGTCTTAATTTTGGTTCTTTTATACATGTGTCGTTAGGGAAGAGAGAGGGCTGGCACAATTGTAATTTCACTCTGTATATGTGAGCCTTTAGTGATTACTGAGACTGAAAAGCAAGGGCAATGCTAATGTGATTCAGTTACAGATTTACATTTCATTCTTACTATCTGAAACTTCACAGTTAGCAAACCAACCGTTGCTAGTTAAAACAAATTTCTCCTTTTTAGTTCCCTTTTTTTTGGAGGGGCTTATTTATAATTGTAGTATACGTATATATTTAAAATAATTGTAATATACTTATATAGCATAGTATATATACTATAATATTATATAACATAATACACTTACTACAGTAATTATAATAATAAACTAGTGAACTCATTCACTGCCCTTGAATTAGTGTCAATTTATTTTCAAGATAATCAATTTCCCTTGGGAAAATAAAACTACATTTTATTTTAAGAAGTACAGAATTACTCATAGTAAATGTTTAGTGTTATATGCTTTAATGTTAAGGTGASCCATACAGTGTATGTAACAGCTTGACCCCTGGGTTTATAGGTGTCGCATAGTTTTTTCTCCAAACCTAATAAATGTCCTGGRAGGAGTGATACAAGTGTACAGTCTGTACCAGAGGCAATAAAGCCAGATCAGGAAGATTTGGGTGAGTATTGATGCTTTTCTACTGTTACTAGGCATTTTGTGAAACAGAGCTGAGGATGAAGTTGTGATATATGATTTTTAGCTAATCTTACAGTTTTTCTCTGGCAGTCATRTATTTCCGTCTCCTAAATTGATTCTACTTTTTAAAAGTAATTTTGCCATAAAAAAGGAAATCAATTTCTGATGGGTCAGCGAGTTAGATGAGATTACCGTGCTGTTGGATAACCATATTGGTACTGGTGTAAGTGAAGGGGAACAACAGTGTCTAGAGGTGTGAGCTTAGAGGGMAAAAAAGGCCTAGGCTGAAGGGGGAGCAAGACCATATTTTTGACTCTCTGATTGGTTTATCTTTATCATGCAATTTCAACCTAACAGTCATGTGGTCTACTTGTTTTTTAGTCTTTCTTTTTTTCATTTGCTCTTTTGTAGTAGGAAAAGTCCTTTAGGAAAGGGGAATCAAAAAATACTTGACCAGCAAAAATTTCTGAAGAATCAGTTCAGGAATTGAGAGGGAAGAATTGAAGTGCTGGGGGGGTCAGGAAACGTCACTGCTTGCAGAGGGATGTGTGCTATGTGTTTGTATTTTAGTCTCAGACATGAAGGATGAAAGAGAAATTGTTGCTAAACCTCAATAGTTCATGGCCAATGTAGTAATTCTAGAAGTGAAGGGCAAATTGATGCCTGGTGCTGTTTTACAAAATACATTATCACAGCCCATAATGCTGTGGAAAAGTCTAGTTACATTTTCCCTAGCAAAAAGAAGCGGAAGAAACTGTGGCTTTCAAAGTTCACAATAATGTCTGTAAGTGGCTCTTTTGATATCTTCCCCTTTTGATAGCATTTAAGTTGTCAAAGATACAGTGTTAAGAGAAAGACAATTTTGTTGTCTTTTGTGATTTCAAGGYGAAAGGATGTGGGCACAGAATTTGCTTTAGAGGAATGCACTTTTAATGCACTGCCTGTTTCTGTATATAAGTATATATGTGTATATAAGTATATAACAATATATACTCATAAGTATATAAGAATATACTTATTTTCATTTTTCTAATATTTCTGCCCATAGTTTGGTATGTGTGWAAACTGGCTAAGCAAATTCAAAAATCCCTGTAAATACTTTAATATTGTACATGGAAGGAAAAGGCAAAGCTCGGTAGAATCATTCTTAAATAATTGTTCCTTTAACTGCCAACTGCAGATGAAATTAGGCATCCCACAATCCGGTATAAATTTCAGAGGGAAAAATCTAGACAATTATCTAGTAAAGTTTCCTACAAAATTTATTGTCTTGAGGAAAAGAGCAAATTTTGTTTTCAAAAGTTTGACTTCATTTTGGAAACCTGCTTAGGCACTGCAGTCTTCAGGAGACCAAGGGCAGCTGCACATGTCTCTCATCTGCCTTCTCCAGTCTCTAACAGCAGCTCTTGCAGAATAGCCTCCTCTAAAGGTGCATACATTTATCTCCCTCCCAAGTAGAGGCAAATACAGCTTTGGATTGTATGGTAAAAAGCACAGTGCTGTTTCTCAAGGTCTTTGCTGTAACTTGATCTTTTTTCTGTGTCTTCTCCCTGTCTCTTCAGAGTCTGAGAAGACACTGGGTGGCTCCTTTGGAGACTTGGAGAGCTTTGAGGATGCGCTTGGCGAGCCTGCCAAGGCCCAGGGAAGCCTCCTGCTCATGCCAAACGCCCTGGATGCAGCAGAGAGACATGAAACAACCACAGACAAAGCACATGGAGAGGGCAACATTTCTTCTGAGCAGTGCCTTAGAAGACACRCTGGCAGTTCACAGGAAGTGGTAACAACTAGCTGGACTGGAGAAAAGCACCCTGAAATGAAGGAGTCTTTATTTCAGAAAGCTGATGAGGATTGGAGGTGTGTTGAACGTGCCTGCTTAATAGGACATGAAAAGGAATTGGAGTCATCTAAGATCACAACAGATGTGCAAGATAACAGAACACAGAAGTCACCTGAGAACAAGAGGCTTGTGAAGGAAGACCTGTCGTCTTCACCCAGCCAGTGGTCTCAGCTGAACTTATCTGGTCTGGATGTGACCCACTTGGAAATGTCTCTGTGTAGCCCTCTGCCATCTGACTTGAGCAGAGAGAATAATTTAGATGAGAAATCAGCACTAATGACCAAAGAGGAGGCTGAAGAAACATCTTTACCCAGTACTTCAAGTCTTTTAAAAGCACAAGAGCTGCTGAGTGTCAATTTGTCAGAGAAGCACTATGAAATGAAGAATTCTGAGAACAATCCAGCACTGGAAATACCTCCAGTAACATCGGTGTCCATGAGTATTCAAGATTCAAAGTTAATAAAAGGATTTGCTGCTGAAAAGGTTTCTAAAGTGAGCTTTTTGGACTATAATTCTATTTTAATTGAGAGTACAAATGTCACAGAATATTCTGTAGTCTACAACAGCAGCTTTTCCAGGCATTTAAAAGCAACTTCTAAATCCGTCATAACTGATGTTCTGTCTCATCCACTTGTGTGTAGCCCTACAGCTCCAGATAATTGCAGCGACCTACATTTAATGGATAGTGAAAATACTTTCACAAAATCTGACTTTAAAAGGCTGAATATGTTATCCAGCTTGAAAAAAAGATCCCAGAGATTTATTTATAGAATAAATAACACGTTACTCTTTCAAGAAGAAAAAATTCAGAAAGAGTTGACCTCTGAATTGCCTGTTCACTCATTGCCATCGTCAGAACTTGATTCATGTGGATTCAAAAACTGTCACGTGGCCACAGGTCATGATCAAGGTACAGCACTAAGCATTTTTTATTGGTGGGGAATTTTCTRTTTACTTGTAATCAGTGATAAAGGAGCTCTGCAACTAACAAGTCTGATAACCAGGAGTTGGCATCAGTCTGTTAATGATCATAGTGACAGAATAGCATTCGTATTGTCAAGTAGTCCGGTGGTGACTCAGTCTCAGACCAGCTTCTGGAGTAGCAACTGGCACCATGAACCATTATCCTAATTGATAAGCTCAGTTATCTTCGCCCTTGCTGTTTAGATAAGGAGAGTGTCAAGTGTCTTCTTCCTTTTGTAGATGACTTTTAAGACAGCATAAAAATGTTACCATTCTTTGACTATTTTTCTAAAGTTAGAAAGTTTCCATTTGTAGATCTGTTCTTTCCAGGATCGAAAGATTTTTTTAAATTATATAATATATATAATTTATGTATATGTGTATATAAATTACATAATGAAAGCAAGCACATACTCTTATTTTTAAAAAGCTGTTGTTCTTGCAGAATAGTTACTTAATATGAGGAATTGAAATATTTCTCTTTAAAGCAGAACCTTTGTTGAGACGCAAGGAATGGAAGTCTGTCTTTTCAAATTAGATTCCAGCTACAAATCAATTATTTTAAGTGATGGCATTAACTGTAGGGTACTCGCTTCTGACTATTAGAACATGATTAGATCAGACAAAGCACCAACCTTGTCAAGATTTTCACTTTTGGAAGCAAAAGCAGTATTTATAGTAGCAGTGTGAAGCATATGTATCTTGTGAATTAGTCAATTTTATGAAAATTTTAATTGGCTTTTTTTATTATTATTTTAATAAATGATAGCTACTAACATGTTTGTTCTGTAATGTCTTTTTCTTTCATAGGCTGCCTGATTTCTCCTGAGAGAAAGCATTTTCAATCAAATATCAAGGAAAATAATTTTGGCACTTGTACCATAAAAATGGATATGATGGGTAATTCATCTGCTAACACCCTCAAGAACAGGCTGAAACAACAGGAGCTGAAAGACATGGAGGAAAATGCAAGAGAGCATCAACCTGTCACATCACTGAAATGCTTAGAAGTATCAAATACTTTGAAAGAAAACACGACAGAGGCTTTAAATAGTGAAAGCATTTCAAATATAAAACGTAAAGTTCTAACTTCAGCACGCCTTGCAGCAAGAAGGCACTCCAGGCTCCTGCCTAAAGGCCACTGCCTRGAGAGAGGCAAGGAGGAGATGTATAGGGGTACCAAGGTGAGTGATGGAGCTGTTGTGCCTCAGAGCCCTAAAGGGCAGCCTGCACAGCCCTCTCCTCTTGGTGACAATGAATGCCTGGTTGATATGSAGCGTGACACAACACCCGTGACAAGCTGTAGTTTCGATAATACCTCAAGTCAAATCAACTCTGCCATAAGTAAGGTCAGTAGTAATTGCTGGAATAAAACATCAGCTGGAAAAAAGCCTGCCACAGACCAGTTGTCAGCAGCTGAGCATGGAGAAGTACTTGCATCTTTGGGATTAAAAGGCTCCGAAAAGTGTAATACTCAATTAAAACATGGGGAAAAATTAGATATAGCTTCCTCTTCAGCAATTGTAGCTTCCAGTCAAGATGTAAAGTCAATGGAAAATGAGGAAGGCAACCTTCAAACAACTGCTTGCAATAATATAGATGTAGAGAGCGCCAAAGAATTGTTGGATTGTGCAGCTGATAATTCTTTAAATAAAGTAATTTCAGAAAACGAGAAACAGGCAGGTCTTTTTGAACAGGATATATCTCAAAAAGTAAGACCTTKTCTGTCAAAGGAAGTGCCAGGACCTAACACTGAAGCTAAACATTACTTAAAGAAGACAAATGTAATTCCTTCCAAAATTATTGCATCGTGCAAAGATACATATTCAGTAAAACCTGTATACTTCGACAAAAATCCAAATGAGAACCTAGAACATAAAGAGAGCTGGTCAAGAAGTCTAAATGAATGCAATTTAAAYCTGAGCTTTGGTGGCTTTCAAACTGCATCCAAAAAGCAGATTAAATTGTCTGAAGAGAGTTTAGCAAAAGGCAAAATGTTATTTAGAGAGATTGAAAATGAATGTTTTGAAGCCTCTTCCATATCAAGAGTCAGAAATACTTCAGATCAAGTTAAAGAGGAGAAGTTTTTCTCACCTGTGAAAAGCAAACTGGATAGTAACTTACCTGATTCTTTAGATTCACAGGCAAGTTTTCTTGAACCAAGGCATATACAGTTTGTTCCACATAAAGTTGATCTACATATGGATTTTCCTGTAAGTCAACAGTCCTTGCAAGAACCAAGTCAGGCTTTGACAGCAAGCCAAGAAGCTGAAATTGCTGAACTTTCTAGTATCCTGGAGGAGACTGGCAGCCAGTTTGAGTTTACCCAGTTTAGAAGGCAAAGTAACATGTTACAAAGCCATGTTACTCAGCACTTTGGAACTGCAGAAACAAGTAGAACAACAAATGTAGAAAATACTTCTACAGTATGGAAAGATACTGATTTTTGTAATGCTCTTAAATCTGAAAATCGAGTACGAAATAGCAAGTATTGTAATAAGCAGGAAGACACTAAYGAAGAATCTGATATGATGGAATGTGAAAAAGAGAACAAAGGGWTTTTCCATAAAAATAATGACGTTGCTTTTACTCACTTAGATGGACATGAAAGAAGCATCTCTGGCAGTCACAGCTTTCCCATGCCTGTACGGGACAGCTTTTCTAATTTTGTGGGCTTTACTTCAGCTGGAGGTAAAAAAATAAATATTTCTAAAGCAGCTCTCACCCGGTCAGCAGAGCTGTTCAGGGACTTGGATGATGATAACTACTTATTTAAACCTTCAGAAACTAATGCCAGATGCCAGAGTTCAAATGRACATAAGTTTTCTGACCAAACCAGAGGAAAGACAGCTTGTGTTAGAAACTTTAAAAATCCTGATCCCTGCATAGTTTCTGTTTCTCACCATTCAGAGAAAGAATATGAGGAAAATATTAGGAAAATACCATTTAGGGGAAATACAGAAAATTGGACAAAAAGGTCAAGAAATGATGAAAATGTCAGTTTTAGTCGTACTGACAATGCCAGATATTCTGCCTCTGAAGCTGGAACCAATCTGTCAGCCACTGAAAAAYACAACCAGCATCTGAAAACTTCTAAGCAACTTTGGACTCAAGGAGATTGCCCAGTTGAAGGTATTTTGCAGGAAGACTCCTTGGTTGTGATGTATCCAGGAACTGCTACTGCAGCTGGAGAAAAACATAGTTTAAACRTATCTAATGAAAAGGAAAAAACAATTCCTAGTGAGAAAGGAGAAGAGAGAAATCCAGAAGATAAATACTTAGCACAGAGTTTGCAAACTGCAGCTAATGGTGATTCGTCTGATTCTGTTTACTTGCTCAAGGTAAAATGTGGTGAAAAAGATGCAAGTGTTTCAGAGAACTCCAATAAACAAAASACAAGCAGTAGAAATGTGGAAGCAGCAGACACTGCCCTTGGAAAGAACCTGTTTGTGRATCACAGCAAAGCAAAAATAGGCTCTCAGCATGATCATCAGATACCTTTTCAGCAAGAGAGAGATGTTGAAGAAAATGTGGTTAATGAGATTTATCCATCTGGTTTCCATACTGCCAATGGCAAGAAAATAACAATTTCTGATGAATTTTTGGCTAAAGCCAAACAGTTTTTTTCAGAAGAAAATGTTTTAGGAAAGAGGCAGAATGACGATTTTGAGCACCCCTCAAGGAAAAGGATATGTAGTACAGACTGTGTCAAAGACTGGGATTCTGGTATTGAAAGCACTGCTAAGTGTGATCCAGAAACACTTGATTGCAGTGAAAACTTKCTTCATAAAGAAACTGGAGATCAGTTTAAACGGGCAGTAGAGCAGAGTCCCCTTAAACAAACTGTTATTCTTGATTCAGTTCAAAAGGACATGTTTGTTCATGTAGATAAAGATTGTGAAACAAATGCTGGAATTGGACCTGCACAAAAAGAAGCTGATGTTCGACTTGGGAAGTTGCAATTAGACTATTTGCCTGGAAAGGACAGCGATGCTTTAGGTGGAACTTCGCTGTCTGAGGATGAAAAAGTGTTTGGTGATGGAGATGAGGAATATCTGGCCAAAAACAGTGGTCATTCAGAAAACATACATGTTTGTCCTGGGCAGTCAGCTGCAGCTCTGTGCTTAATGAAAGAATCCAATGACCTTGCAGATGGTTCTGTGCCTAGAGATGCAAAAAATGGTATGTTTGAGGACAGTAAAAATAAATCTAAACCATCCCTCCTCTTGACTTACAACAATAGTGTTCCAAAAAGTAGCTCTTCCCATTTGAATTGTGACAGTAAGGAGGTTGGCTTGGAACAACTACATGAATCTTGTCTTGATGCAAACTGCTTTGCAGACACCACGGTTAGTGCTCGCCAAGAACGGTCCCGAGCTGGTGGTCTTGGAAACGAAGCTGATTTGACCAGATTGGAAGAAACATCCCATAGTTTTAATCTTGAAAAACAAATGGCTGGTTTGAAACCTGTTATGTTCACTACAGCCAAAGGTAAAGCAGTTGCTGTTTCAGAAAATGCATTAGCAAGAGTCAGACAAATATTTCAAGAAGATCAATCTGTAAAATCTGAAACTAAGTCACAAACTAATCAGATAGAAGTTGTTGCAAAATCATCTTTCATCGGTCATGCTGAGTGTCCCGATTCTACTAAACTCTTAAATGATGCAAAAAATGGGGAGACTAATTCAGTCATTAAGTTAAATGAGAGTACAGGTGAAAATGGTCACCGTGACCAGGTGCAATTTAGTGAACAGAATGTGAAGCTTTTAGGACACCTGCCCAYGCGAGATAAGCAAATCAAGCAGCCGGTTTCTTCTGTAAGTAATCTTGGATTTTTTAGTACAGCAAGTGGTAAACCAGTGCAGTTATCAGAAGAGTCACTGAGGAAAGCTCGGCAGCTCTTTTCGGAAATGGACAATAACAGTTCCTCACATCTGCAAGAAATCCTTCCAGTTGAGGAAGATGGTAGAAAGWCTGAAGTGGGCACAGAAACAGTTCCTAAAAAAACGGGGCTGGTGGTGCCGAAAGGGAGAGCAAATTCCGATGCTGGCTTGGATTTACCTCCTGCGTTTGGATTCAGCACTGCAAGTGGAAAGCAGGTAAAAGTCTCTGAAAATGCCTATCGGAAAGCTAAGGCCATTTTAAAAGATTCTGATGACTTTGCAAGCAATAGATTTTGCTTTGCAAATCATCTTGGCTCAACTGAAGAGAGCGCTGAAGCTATGAAACCTGTTACTGATKGCAGTGATGCAGCCAAGATAGCAGATAAAGTGATCTCAGAAGCCAAAGCTGAAGAAAGCTTCAGTGAAGAACTTGAATTGGAAAACATCTATGCAGAGGAAATAAAGCCCCTTGCAAGCACTTGCCATGTTAAAATGCCTGAGTACATTCCACGTAGTATGAAAAATGAGCAGCTAATGTTATTTAAAAATAGTTTTCAGCAAGAGGGGACTTGGCCTCTAGGAGAAGGGAGGCAGAATCTGGAGCAGGGGTCGAAGGCTGAAGCAGTTTCACACGGTTCTGTTGCTAAAGCAGAAGTGGACGTTAACCGGGCCTGTTTCCAGCCTCCACAAACTCGCCTGGAAGCGGAGGCAGTAGAAAGTGCCAAAGCTTTTATGGCGGATGATCTTTCAGAGGCTGGAGCACGAGTTAACTCCCTGCCATCCTTCAGCGGCAAAATGCGGGATAAAAGCTTTCCAACTAGGACGTTTGGGAAGAGGCGCCTGGAAGGATGTGCCTCCCTAGGTAAGTCTTTGTCTTATATATGTTCAGCTTCATACCTCCATATTGGTGGACATGTTTTTGCCTTTTTCTTTTTTAATATTTTTTGTCATCTAGAAAAATTTTTGTCTCTTGGTGTCAACAACAAAGTTCTTGCTGCAAACGAGGGTTTGTTCACTCTTTCCTGCTTAAAATGTGTAGTATAAGCCAGATTTGTTTACTAACAATCCTGAAGCTGTGCAGGTTTTGCTCTTCTGTGGAAACTCCAGTTGTCATTTAAAKGTATGGAAAAAAATATTATTTCTTCTCTGAGGAGATGGTTTTAATTTCCCTTCTTTCCCTTCTTCCCTTTCCACAAGTTCTGGTAAGAAGGGCAGGGAGGCTGGTGCAAGAAAGTTCGGATAAGCGTGGGAAGGCAGGTGGGACTCTACTGCAGCCTGCTTTGGTTTCCGTGTGTTTGTGTGTGATGTTTGGTGTGGCTTTTCTATTTGTGTGAACTGTGCAGGGACCCCTTGCAAAAGAAGAGTTAACGAAGTATCTCTGAACTGGAAGATTATTCCAYGCATGTGGAAGTGTGATCTGAAGACCTTTTACTGTTTGCTGTGACTTCTTTTATTTTATTTATTTAGGAATGCAGTTAACTTGCACAGTACTGGGTAAGAAACTGAACTTAAAAGGAAATTCATTTTTTAAAATCTCTGTTCTTATCCTAGGAGAACCTCCAATTAAGAGGAAACTGCTGCCTGAATTTGATAGAACAAAGAATCCCACTACATCTTTGACAGCTTTGAGAAGCACCCCTGATGGTAAGTTTAGTATTTGTCTGTTCCAAGATGTAACTTGGCATCGGGTGTTAGCTTTAGAATTATTCCATTTCCAATAAACTAATGTAAACTGAGATTGCTCAGGTGCTTCTCTTATCAATAAAGTCAAAAAAAATCAAGAAAACCACTTCAAATGCCATGATTAGTTGCATGCCTTATCATATCACATTTAAAATATTTTGAAAAGTACTTGCTCTTATTACGAGAATTCTGTTTTATTTTCAACACAGTAAGAATTYGTCCAATTTCTCCCAATTTCAAATCCCATTTGCATTACATGTGCAGCTGATGATGTGCAGATTTAATATTTTGAGCCAGTAATATGGAGTTGCATGAAAATGAAACCAAGCTTTTAATATCTGAGAGGATGCCTTTATGGAAAGCTGATTTTACCAGGGTGTTAGAATAATGTGATTTAGACTATTCCCTTTTCACATAGCATAAACTATGTTTTCTTACTGTTCTCTGAACTAACTTGTTCCTTCTAAGCACTGTTGGAGCCTGCCTGGAGTTGGGTAGCAGGATTCATTCACTAGGTCTGAAAAGCACRAACAGCTAATAATAATTATCAGATCTTTTATCTTGGATGAGAGATGTTCCTTCAAAGCTGTTGCTTTTTGAAGCTTTGAAAATAGCACAGAGTGTAAAAGAGTCCAGTGGGTGTTTCTGGTGATGGGGAGGACTCCCTCTTTCTTATATCCAGTTCTGCAACAGTCCTAGCTGGAGATGGGAAACATTTTATACATCTCATCATTGCCCTTGCATTTTGGACTGTCTCAGCAAGCTATTCTGTCACCTAGATGGTGAGCTGCAGTACTCGCTACAAGAGTTTGGAAAGCCTCCCCTTCCAGTTTCTTTAGATAGTGTGGTTCGCTTTTCTCTTGAAGTTGTAATGCAGAAAGATTTTGTCTTGTTCACATACGTGTTCTTGTTCACATACACAGTTCAGTTTTAGCTCCAGCTTTACAGTCTGTTGAAGGAAATGCCTTCCATGCCAGGCTACTCCTATTTCTAGGGTCAACCAGATTATGAAAGAGAAGTTTGTGCTAAAAGTTTTTTAATGTTTCAAAATGGTAAAGATAATTACTCTTTCCATCTGTAATGGGTTTCTAGCAGTACTGTTGAGAAAAATAATTCAGATATCTAGAGTAAAATTAGCCCTAGAAGWGTCAAATGTTTTGTGCCTGACTTTTTTTTTCTGTATTTATTTTTCTGTTGTGGTTCATCAGAGATAGCTAGGAAAACAAATGGAAAACAAACAGCCAAGACATTTTATACAAAGATGTTTTTCCTCCCCCCAAAATAATACAGAGCTGTTTTAACCTACTCTGCAAACTCGTCTTTTTCCTATTAACATTATAAATACATAGCTACATTCTGTAAATATCCATCCATATAATGTACCATTTCAAACTTTTCTAATTACAGGCATTTTCAAAGACAGAAGAAGATTTATATACAACGTTCCCTTGAAACCCATAACTTGTGGACCTTTTGGGTGAGTAATGTTTAATATATTTTGAAGTTACTTAAGACCTTAAGATCTTGCAGTTTCTTTTTTTTTTGCCTTTTTTAAAATTTTTTTAACGTGTGATAGTAATTTGCTGTAATAGTAACTTTCTAAAAACTAATCAAATTTACCTCAGAATAAACACATCAAATTACCTGTGACATGAATTGCTGCAGTAGTCTGCTGAGATGGAGGGGGAAAAAACAAAGAAATTTTACACCTGTTTCTGTTTTTTTTCCCCCCTCAGTAAATGCAAATTAACACTCTAAAAACTGAGTACTTATCTAGTCTTTGACATTTTATATTTTTATTAACATGATGTTGAAAGTTGCTTTACTGAATTAAGAACAGCAACAATTTTACAAAGATTTTTGTCTCGGGAAGCTGAACCTATGTGCTTAATGTTTGTGCCTCTGCAGCACTGCTAAGGAGCGACAGGAGGTCAAGACTCCTACCTTTACTCTGCCAGATCAAGACCTCAAAGGATTTAAATCTCAATCTGCCATTTTTCAGCACTGTGCCCTGAGACAGTCTTCTAGTGGTACCTCAGGGGTTTCCACTCCACATAATGCCTTGGCTGAAAAGACTGAACAACCCAAAAGTTTATACAAACCTGGCAAATCGGTTAAAACGTTTATTCCGCCCTTCAGAACAAAGCTGACTTTTTCTACAGATGARCAAGACCACAGCAGCAGCTGTGACTCCCTGGTGAGCAAAAATAGGCCTGAAGAGAGGGAAATAAATGAGATCCCAGTTGAGCAGAGCCCCGCTGAAGCTCACCAGCCCCAGCCAGAGGGCAGCAGTTACATCCAGCAAGCAGCAGACACTGCCTTAGAAAATGACAACTCAGGTATTTTCCATAATATTATGGAATAATATTTTATTACTACAGTCATAACATGGCCTGTGCATCTTGCAAGCTCATTATGAACCTAAGCAGAGTGTTCTCACATGCTGATTCAGGAACAAATGCTCCTGAAGCATTTGTTTCAATTGGTACTTGATTTAGATAGTTATATGTAATTTAAGTATTCTAGGATCTTTGCGGTACTTCATTCACTTTTATAGAAGCTTTTGTATATTCTGTTTCCTGATTAAGATGGACACCTAACCTTACAAATGACTGACAGTGGTGTTCTCAGAACAGCAGGGTGTTTAAATGCTTTGGTCTTTCACTTTCATTGGTATGCAGACTCACAGACTGTCTAGAATGTCCCAGTAAGTATAATTAATGTAACTATTAAAAATCAAATAATTTAGATTCCTTCAGGAGGAATCATGTATATCAGCTTAAACGTAGTGTTTGTAGTGCATAGTGTAGAACTAGATTCATGAGTGACAGGTCAGAATCTCAGAATTATTGATCACTTAGCTACCATCAATCTGTTTCTTTTCTCTTGGTGTTTTCTATACAGATAGACTTCAGTCTGTCTATTCAAAAATATATAAGTTCAGAAACTTCATTTTATGTCAATATTTTTCAAATGTCTTCAGTAAACACTGCTTTATAGGCAGTAAATGATGGTTTTTTTACATGCTTTAAACTTTGTATATTTATACTGTTGCAGACTGGATCTGTAGAAATGAAAAATATGCATCTTTTGGATGCCTGTGRTAAAATTTTAAGTAGTTTTTTTTGTTTTGTTTTTCAGTTATGAACAAGATGGTGATAAATCTCCACTGTGCAAGAGATCTTCAGGAAATGAGAATTAAAAAGAAATACAGACAAAATATTAGTTCACAACCAGGCAGTCTTTATGTCATAAAAACCTCTGYGAGAAACAGAATCTCTTTGAAAGCTGCTGTAGAAGAGAAGCCTCCTGGCTGTTATTCTGCAGAACAGGTACGTTCATATCTTCATCCTTTGCATCTTTCCAGGGTCTCTTCCTCAAAATAGACAAACAAAATCTTTAGGAGTTTTGTATATCCACAGATTTTAAGAATATTCCAAATTACAGGAATCTTCTGTAAGCGAATTATCAAATGACAGAAACAGAGCATAGAAAAAATCCACCAGCGATAGCAGCCGGTGACCTTTAGCCCATACAAAGCAGTGTTTTAAGATAAGCCTTTTAATTCCCCAGTTAAAATGTTAAGCCCCGGCTGAGTCAATATGAAAACCTTCTTACTTTTGGCACTGTAAAGGTGCAAAGTCTGTTGACTTTCTGGAATAAAAGCACACRTGCTGCTGCATTCTGCAGAAAAACATATTGGGACTTCCTCCATTCTCCTTGGTTTATATTCAAAATGGCAAGGTCAGAAAAGCTCACTGAAGCTCAGGAGATATTCTGTGTGCACTTGTACACTATATATATAAAACAAAATCATCCGAATTTTTACTGTATTGTCATTATTTTGTCCCTTTCATCTTTTTTTTCACAGCTTTACAAATATGGTGTTTCAAAAAGCTGCATACAAGTTAACAGTGTGAATGCAGAATCTTTCCAGTTTATCATGGAAGAATTTCTCAGTAAGGAGTATTTGCTAGCAGGACAGGGGATACAACTTGCTGATGGAGGATGGCTAATACCTACGGATGATGGGAAAGCAGGGAAAAGGGAGTTTTACAGGTACTTTTAGTTTTGAACCTGAGGCAAGTGTGTTATGTTAGCTTCTGATTCTCTTATTCCCTATAATAATTTAGAAGTAATTTAGCCCTTTACCATTTTGTTTAATTAATAGATTAATAAGTTGTGATTCTTTTTTTTTTTTTCTTTTTTTTTTCAAGTAGAAGAGGATTTGTCTCTGTTAGGCTCAAGAGTCTGGAAGGACATGAAGAAGGTGGTGTTGAGGGGGCAAAGGTTGTTTAAGGTTTCTTTGGCAAGACAAGACTAGAAATGTTTTTTAATGGTGAAGTTTTAAAGCTGACTTACAAACAGACACTGGATTACAGCAGAATCACAGATGGCTGAGGTTGGAAGGGACCTCTAGAGATCATCTAGTCCAACCCCCTTGCTCCAGCAGGGACACCCACAGCGCGGGGCACAGGGTGGCAGCCAGGCGGGTTTGGAAGATCTCCAGAGAAGGAGACTCCACAGCCTCCCTGGGCAGCCTGTTCCAGGGCTCTGGCACCCTCACAGGGAAGAAGTTCYTCCTCACATGGAGATGGAACTGCCTGGGTTTCAATTTGTACCCGTTGCCGCCTGTCCTGTCACTGGCCGCCACTGAGAAGAGCCTGGCCTCTTCCTCCCTACATTCCCCCTTCAGGTCTTTATACATATTAATCCCTCTCAACCTTCTCTTCTGCAGGCAAAGATTTATTAAAAGTTTCGGTTTGCAGTTAGCAAGTACAGACATTAAATGCAACACTAGCAAAAGCACATTTAATAGCAAAAGGAGCTACTGGTCTACTGTTTTTTCCTCAAAACTTCAGAAAATATTGACAAGGAAAATAATTCCTGGAATTTTGCTGTCTCCCTCAGTCAGTTAGAGATTCTTTTTTTTTTTTTTTTGCTGAATCAGCACTACTGTTGTATGTGTGCACCCAAATCCTCAAGCCAGACCTCCCTACCAGAGCAGTATTTGTGGTCAAGTTTGCATTACCAGCATCCTTGGTGCTGAAGACTCGYGCAGCACCTGCTTTCCAGGACAAGCATCCAACAGCGATGAGGGGTGTCCACGCTTGCCCTTGCAAGAGTCTGGCCCAGTGAAGTTACTGCCAGTAATCCTGCCTACGGAATATTGACTTGTACAGGGTGTTTCCTTCCATGCTGCCATCTGCCCTTCCTCATGGGAAGAAAAAAAATGCTTTCTGGCCCTTCTTGGTGAGTCGGGATCATTGTTGACTTTTCCCACACGGTTTTGCCAGCACCAAAAGTGCTTCCCAGGGTTTGTTTATCTCGGGAGAACTGTATCCATGCCAAATAACTGGGCAGAAAGGAGGGTTCTCAAGAGCAAGTGCTGGAATTTGCAGAATCCTGGAGGGGGCTGCCAGGCATCCTCTGGTGCAAGCCCCTGCTCAGAACAGGTCTGTTCACCACATCTGGTTACTTGGGGGCTTGTCCGCTTGAGTCCTGTCTCATCTCCAAGGATAGCAACTCCCCAACCCCYCTGGGCAACCCAAGGCTGCTGTCATGTGTTTGGGCTTTTGTGTGTGTGTGTATTTGTGGTTTGCTTGTTTTTCATCCTTGCATCTACCTGGAATTTTCTGTGTCCCAGCTTGTTGCCTCTCATCTTGTTCAGACTCTTTTGAGAAGACTCTGACATCTTCCCTTTGTCCTGCAGTCAGGTGGTTGCAGACAGCAATATGGTCTCCTCTCAGCCTTCTCAAAACAGCTCCTTAAGAGACATAGGTCTCCTCATATGCAATGCTCTTGGCTCCRTGGAGCACGGGGAAAACCTTCCCAGTAGCTCTGTGCTGAGTTAGCTCCCATATACCAACATTTTTGTKTTGAAGAGCCCCAAGTTGAACAGAGTGCTCCAGGTGTAGTCTCCTGAATGCCAAAGGGGAAGGTTCCCTCCTCTGCTGGCTTCWCTCTTAACAAGACAGCCCGGATGCSGTTGGCTTTTGTGGCAAGGACACGTGGCTGCCTCACGATCATCTTGTTAGTCACCAGGCCCTGAGATCTGTTTCTGCAAAGCTGCTTGCCACACAGCCCCAGCCTGTTACTGTTACATGAGGTTATTCCATCCCMGGTGCAGGACATGGGTGMCAGAGCCCTGGCACAGGCTGCCCAGGGAGGCTGTGGAGTCTCCTTCTCTGGAGATCTTCCAAACCCGCCTGGCTGCCWCCCTGTGCCCCGTGCTCTGGGTGTCCCTGCTGGAGCAGGGGGTTGGACTGGGTGATCTCTAGAGGTCCCTTCCAACCTCARCCAGTCTGTGATTCGGTGACTTTGCATTTGCTGCTGCTACATGTTGAGCTTCCTGTTAGCACGTTTCTGCAGCCTGCCCAGCCCCCTTTGTATAGCACCCTTGTCCTCCAGTGTATTGACCAATGCCCCCAGTTTAGTGTCRTCTTCAAAGCTGCTGAAGTCAGTTTGTTGATGAAGACATTAAACAGAATTAGTCACCGTATTGATCTCTAAAAGATGCCACTAGTCACTGGTCATCAGATGGATTTTTTTTTTTTACTGTGGATCACAACTCTTTGAGCCTAGCAAGCCTGCCCATTTCCCCCTCATTTTATCTACTTCTGCAGCCCATATCAAATCAATTTGGTGAGAAGAAAACTATGGGAGACTGTCAAAGTCCTTGCTGAAGTCGCAGTAACTTTGCAGTCTGTTCTGGAAGGATTAAAAAGTTTCCATGTCAACAACACCTGTATGTATGGACGTGAAAGCTGTCACGTCCAAACATGTCCCTGGTGGCTTCAGGACAGACTTCTGGCTTATGTTAAGTAACCTCCCAGTTTCACACTGTTCACATTGTTGCCTATGGAGATAAACTGAATGCAATAGTAGGGAAAAACATGCCAAAACTTACAGTAGATTTTAGATTAATTTGTTATTAATTCCTCTGCAGAGCCCTCTGTGATACTCCTGGTGTGGATCCCAAGCTAATAACAGAGGCATGGGTTTACAATCACTATAGGTGGATTGTATGGAAACTGGCAGCCATGGAAGTGTCTTTTCCACAAGAATTTGCCAACAGATGCTTGACACCAGAARCAGTGTTGTTGCAATTAAAATACAGGTATGTTTAGCAATGGGGTTGAAATACTGGGGTTGAAATACTRTGTGCTTGCTAGTTTATATTTTAAATTAAACTCATCTACCTTGTTTATTGAAATGCTTGTATTGTTGAGCCTAGTTATATCTATAGTTGTATCTAGTTATATCTATATTAAAATACATATTGCATGTTATTTGCTAAAAACGTTATAAGCTTTGGCACAATGATGCTAAAGCCCTAAGRCTGATCGTAGCAATCGTTTACTACAATTGCTTTAAAGGAAAATAGTTGTGATGTATTTTTTTGTTTTTTTTTTTAGATACGATTTGGAAGTTGATAGAAGTAAACGTTCAGCAATCAAAAAAATAACAGAGAGAGACGACACAGCAGGCAAAACCCTCGTGCTGTGCGTTTCCAAAATCCTATCACTGAGCACCGTTGTCTCCCCTGGCAGTAGTAGTAAGAGCGTGGAGAGTAAAAAAGAAGGAGCAGTGATTGAAGTTACTGATGGCTGGTATGGGATTCGGGCTCTCCTGGACCCGCCTCTCCGAGCCTTCGTGCGCAGAGGGCGCCTGGCTGTTGGTCAGAAGATCGTAGTACACGGAGCAGAACTGGTTGGCTCGCAGGATGCATGTGCACCCCTGGAAGCCCCTGATTCCCTTATGTTAAAGGTAAAATGAAGTGTTAGTTCAGACTGTTAGTTCAGACATAACTACAGCCAGAACAGGAGGTGGCCTCGAGTTTTGCACCAGGGGAGGTTCAGGTTGGACATTAGGAAGAATTTTTATATGGAAGTAGTGGTGAAGCATGGGAACAGGCTGCCCAGGGAAGTGGTGGCATCACTGTCCCTGGCAGTGTTCAGGAAACGTATAGATGAGGCAGCTTAGGGACGTGGTTTAGGGGGCCTGGTGATGATGGATTTATCATTGGACTTGATGATCTCAAAGGTCTTTTCCAACCATAACAAATCTATGATTCTGTGTGGTGGATGCTGCTTAATTTAGCAATGCTGTAAAACAGAGTTCTACAGTTAGACAAAAGTTTGGTCAGTTTAATATCCATATTGCCAAGATGTGATATAGAACAGGTGACACTATCCGTAAGGACTGCAACYATTAGGATACAGTATAAAACTTTGCCAAGGTATCTGCTATGTGTTTTACCAGTTYAAAATCCTTAATTTGATGAAACATCAAATTACAAAAAACTATTTATCTATCATGGATTATGTAGAAGCTTGAAGAAGCAGTGGGGGGGAAAAACATCTTGTGAGCGGATGAGCTTGGAGGGTGGGGGCTCAACTTGGATAGTCGAGTGCTGTGTAAAGCTTCAGATCTTTCTATGGTGTTATAAATCAATGGCTTATATTTCATGGATACTCATTTTTAATAAAAGTTTAATTTAGCAAAATTTTAATTAATTTAATTTTTCAAATTTGGGGGATTTTCATCATGAAAAGAATTCTTACCAGCATGAGTTTAACATTCCCTGTGGACCTGCTTCAGATTTCAGCAAACAGTAGTCGCCGCGCGCGCTGGCACGCGAAGCTCGGCTTCCATCGGGATCCCAGGGCCTTCCCTCTGCCCCTGGCATCGCTCTACAGCGAGGGCGGYGCCGTGGGCTGTGTTGACGTGGTTATTCAGAGAACTTACCCTGTTCAGGTATGATATAAGTATTTATAAATCTATGACATCCAACTTACCTGAATAATTAACTGTTGCGTCATTTCAGAAATGAGATATAATATAGACTGCTGAAAAGTTCACATATTTAATATTTCAGTAGTGGTGTTTCCAGATCTAAGAATTCCAGTTTGCATTCAGTATCCTCTGTCTGGGTTTGTTTTCAGCGCAAGGAACGAGCAATAATTGCACTGCAGGTCTCGCAAGCTAAATCTAATAAGCACGGAGCTTGGCTGAAGGGGGAGAAACAAAAACTGGCAGCTTCAATTCCCAAGCAGAAATGACCAACCCARTTTGCACTGTTACTAACATACAATATCCATGCAAATAATGCAAGTCTTTAGAACTATTTGTAAGAGTATTTTTCCTTGCATGTTTCCAATATTTCAGTGGATGGAGAAGACGTCCTGTGGCTCGTACGTGTTTCGTAACAGTCRGGCTGAAGAAAGGGAAGCTGCCAAGCATGCAGAGGAGCAAGAAAAGAAACTGGAAGCTCTGTTTGCAAAAATCCAAGCAGAATATGAAAAGCATGAAGGTAAAGGTTTCATTGCTTCCAAACATGTAATGAGAATGCATTTTTACCCCCTTTTTTAGCATTTACAGAAGAATTTAAACAATATATCAAAAGCCTCAGACAGGAGGGAAGGAGATGTCATGGGCAGGCGAGGGGGTGGATTTGAATATGTCTATGTGTTTTGTTTTATATTTATTTCCTATGTATTAAAGCCTTCCAGTATAAACAAGCCCTGCATGCTCACGTGCTTGGTTTTGAGGCCATCTCTGAGACTCTGAGAGCTGGTTGRTAGAAGGGCTACTAAATACGACCATTGGGTTGATGCTCAGGAAGGTGCTGCAGGACTGTATAATTCCTAACTCTGACCCCTTCAAGGACTGGACACGGGCAGACTTGTTCTGGGGCCCTGCTTAGGRTCTGTCTCAGTAGATGGGAGTATTGAGATATTGACACTGGACATCTTTCCTTCAAGGCCATCGTGGGATTGACCTAAGGGACCCCTGAGGTCAAGGGGCTTGTGCTGCCCAGCCTTGCCTGTGATTTCTAGCTGGTGTTTCCACAGGTGCTGCAGTTGGCTGCTGTTTGCTGTAATCTCCTGATTACATTGCACTTAATACAAATTCTTTTCACTAGTATTGTCCTAAGGAAAATGAATTTTTATAGAGTACCAATTTATATTTTTATTTGGACAAGGTATRAATATTATCCTGCTTCTAATACGTGTTTTTTTTCCTTTATTTTTAAAATGTAATGGCTATATCTGACATACTATTTTTTCTAACAGAGAGAAGTAGCAGAAGAGCACTGAGGCCACGCATGGTGACAAGGCAGCAAATCCATAATTTGCAAGATGGTGCAGAACTTTATGAAGCGATTCAGAATGCATCTGATCCTGGCTATATGGAGGTAACTGTAGGTGTGAGTGGGCTAATTTTGAAATGCTGATGGAATCATTTCCAGCTTAGTACCTGCTGCTAAAATTAACCATTAATTTACCATGTAAGAATTTTAAAAAAAATGAAAAATATTTGAATGAAGGCTTGTTAACATAGCTGAGGAATATTTTGAATTGCAGGAAAAAAAATCTTGATATAAATCTGAGATACAGTGAAATTATGAGTTAATATTTGGGATTTTTATTACTTTGTTCTGTCGTAGGTAAACTAAATGTGTCTGGTAAGTCTTTAGAGTTGCACACCTCAGTGAACAGTATGCAGGCAAGTGAGTGTGCACTTACACTGACTTCCTCTCTTTATTCCCTGTTCCAACTCAATCACACTATTTCAATGTCTGCTCCTACATGAACTGGATGGAGATGATTAGTCTCTACGGTTGTTATAAACTAYATGTTTGCCTCATCCATTGCAATATCAGGGTCTTTGACGTCACTAAAACCCTATGGCTGTGGCTTTTTTTGGTAAACTGTTATGTAATCTGTTACATTACATGACAAGGCATCTAGATCTTCAAGGTTTGCTCAAAAATATAACACTCCTGATGTATTTTGATATAAATTATTGTGTCAGCAGTTAGCTAAGATGAGGAGTGCAATCTTTTTTCTTCTTCTTAAAAGAAAGTTCTGTAATACATAAGTGTGGCTGTTACATAAATATTAACTATAAGTTCTTAAACCGTCTTCTCACTGATTCACAGAATCACAGAMTGGTTGAGGTTGGAAGGGACCTCTAGAGATCATCCAGTCCAACCCCCTGCTCCAGCAGGGACACCCAGAGCACGGGGCACAGGACTRTCCAACTTGAAGCTCCTGGAGAACTTTTGGTGCTTCAGTTTGTGGCCGTTTCCTCTAGTTCTGTCAGTGGCCACCACTGAAAAGAGGCCGCCCCCTCCTCCTCACTGCCTCCCTTGAGGTATTTATAGACACCGATCAGGTYCCCCCTCAGCCTCCTCTTCTCCAGGCTGAACAGRCCCAGCTCTCTCAGCCTTTGCTCATAGGGCAGATGTTCCAGGCCCCTGATCATCCTGGTAGCCCTGCGCTGGACTCTCTCCAGCAGCTCCACATCCCTCTTGTCCTGCRGAGCCCAGAAGTGGACACAGTGCTCCACGTGTGGCCTCATGATGCATTTACACAGAATCATTTCAAGTGTATCAGTGTCMTGTATCAGTTGAACAATATTCTTTGTAACAGAAGAATAGTTTGAAAAGAGGCTGTCTAAAACCCTTGTGYAGACTTTTCTTTTTAAATTAGTAAGAAAAGATACTGAATATTTTTCCTTTTGTTACAGGGGTATCTAAGTGAAGAGCAATTGAAAGCTTTGAATGCTCACAGGCAGGTGCTGAACGATAAAAAACAAGCTCAGATCCAGGCAGAATTCAAGAAGGCAGTAGAGTCTGCAGAGCAGGAAGAGCACGGTTGCTCCAAGAGGGATGTGTCTGCTGTATGGAAATTATGTGTGGTAGACTACAGAAAGCAAGAAAATAATTACGGTTAGTATTTGGAGATGAGTAATTTCCACATGGGAACAACTCAACATAATGGGTAGATTTGAAAATAGCTTCCTAAGAGTGTTCTGGTTTGTATGTCACCTTTTATGGCTGTATTTGGCATCACGTTCTTTAGGTAAGTGGATTGCTGTGGATTTCTTTGGTTTTAAGAAGTCTTCATGTTAGTTTTGTGCACCTGATGTATCTGTATCTGCTGTTTTTAGGAGTGCTGCTGAGTATCTGGCGTCCCCTGCTAGACGTCTGTTCCCTCCTAAAGGAGGGAAGCCGGTACAGAATCTACCACCTCTCAGCATCGCAGTCCAAAGGAAGATCAGACCTAGCTAAAATACAGTTAACAGCCACAAAGAAAACTCAGTATCTACCATTACCAGTAAGTGACTTAACTTCATGAATGTGTATTTTCATGATTAAAAYGTATTACAGTATGTGGGAAATATTTAAAATGTCTATTTTCAGGTTTCACGAGAGATGCTGTCCCAGATCTTCTCTCCCAGAACGGCTCTGACATTCACGAGTTTATCAGATCCTTCTTTTCAGCCACCGTGTGCTGAAGTTGACTTAGTGGGAGTTGTAGTTTCTGTGGGCAGAACAGGTACGTTGTAGACCATGTTCATGTCTTTCCGTTGTGAATAAGCCCTAAAACTTATTTTGAAGTTTTTGACCAGCGTGGTGTTGTTCGGTGGGTCTGTGAGAAACTGCAAATTCAACCCATTACCRTGACATGCTGGCAGATACCTTTTGGTTTTAAAGAAAAAATGTCTCCAGATTTGTTCAGGAACTGCTTTAGCAAACTTCTTTACCAAAAGATGGAAGCTCAAGAGAAGGTTTTGCTTTAGCCTTTGCACAAGTTGATTTGCATGTATTTGAGCTCCTCTTCTGCCTCAAGTACCGTGAAACCAGGGGAGCGCAGTCAGTGCTGCTCACAAGCTGAGAGGCTTCAAATCCTTTGGATAAAAAAGGGAAGTGCCATAAGAGTATTGTTGTTTAAAGCCCAGGCTTTGGATTGCTCTCTGTGATCAGCAGAGAGCTGGTGCAGAGTATGAATGAAGCATCAACATCTGCTGCCATGCAGACAGGCTGCRCCGCCATATTTATCAATTACAGCTCCCGCAAGCCGGGCGGATTCTTTGGCCAATGACAACCTGCCGTAACCAGTGTTTATTTAAAGGTTTATTGCTCTGCCGCCCTGCTCCCAGGTGCCGGGCCCCTGGTGTACCTGTGTGACGAGAGCCGCGAGGTGGTGGCGGTGCGGCTGGGCGCCGGCGCGGCGCGCGGGCTCGTGGCGCGCGGCTCGCTCCTCGCCGCCACCAACCTGCGCTGGCAGCCGCCGCCGCCGGCCGCCCCGCCGCTGCTCGTGGCCGGGGAGCTCTCCGTGCTCTCCGCCAGGCCAAAGGAAACCCACCTGCAGCTGAGGTGCCACCAGCTGAGAAGCAGCATAGAGGTAAGCTGGGGGGCCACCTTCAGTGTTACGGCATTCAGTGTTGGGCATTGCTCTGCTGTAGTCCTCACCAGAGGGTCTGTTGGTGCTAATGACCCCACGTAAGAGGCAACACTGACTTCACAGAATCACAGA